GGCAGGAATGAGAATCAAACTTGTATCAGAAATTCTTGGTGCAATTACAATAACTTGAATCACTCAACATTGTGCATCTAACTTTGATATGTAGAGTTTAGACACTGATCGTCTGGTCAATGAAATAATTGCATCCTAGCAAATTCTGGTTTAATTTTAATGGTGCGAATCATATGATGCAAAGCTTGTAACTCGAGCCATCGAGTGTGCTTGGTGATTCAATGCATATGAACATATGCAACGATGAGTGATTAAAGGCTTACACTGGATAAGAGACATAACAATGATTGCATTTGATTCCTTCCTACAGAGTCTCCGACGAAGGCCATCATCTTCCCTCGAACAAGTTCCAAGAATTGCTTTGCATTAAAGAAAGGTAGCTCACATTTCTCTGGTCTCCACCTCCATTTCATGAACTCCGTATCAGGTCTGCCAAATTTCATGCAATTGTGCTGGTCGATGATTAGGCTACAAGTTGCATCAGTGTAGTAAGGACCATTAGGATCAGGAATCCATTTTCCACTAAAAATGTCACATTCCTTCACTATTCCTATGTTTCTCAAATCACTGATATCAATCTTAGGGGATGGTGGTGGTGAACGTGAAGTTGTCAACAGATACAGAGGGACGATGGTGAGGAAAACTAGACAGAGGGCTAGCAGCAGCAGCTTTTTGGAGGCGCTGTGCTGCGTGTTCTTTCCAATGGAAAACTCAATGTCATTAAACTTCATGGTGAAGTAAAACAACAAACTTTGCATTTGTGCACTCTGTTGGGGCTAAAGTGATGTTTTTATATTGTTTCTGGACATGGATCATGTATTTGACCAATTACAATGAGTTTTAACAGCTAGACCGGAGATTTAAGGATACGTGTTGATTCGTATATAATGTTAAAAGTAAACTAGTTTTTGGTTTTTCTAAAAACAGAGAAACTGGATTATTAGTTGAATTAAATAAATTGATTAATTAGTTTATAAACGATTAATTGGTTAAGTTGGTAGAATATATTTATTGTTTAAATTAGGATTTTTTCTTGAGTAGTTTAATTCCTTATTTATTTAGAACTTGAGGCTTATAAATATACTTATAATCATAAATATAATTAAATATGTGTAGAGAGGAATATACAAAAGAAAACACTTAACAACATGCTATTTCTCTCAAATCATCTTTTTGTCCTTTAGTTTTGCTATTCATAAACATCTACCACATCAAAAAAAAATTTCTAATAAATGATATCAGAGTTTTTTTTTATGGTTTAAAATGACCAATACAAACTTCACACTTTAATGTCCTCGTTTGACAAATGAAAATTATAAAATTTTATATGTATTTATGTGAAAGCTTGGCTAAATTTCCAAGATGCTTGGAAAATAATTGAAAAAAGGCTTTAAAAATCCTAATTAAAGAGCAACATTGATTTAAGCTTAAAAGAGGTTATGCGAAAAGCACAAAGGAAGGATCAACAAGTACTCACAATCATTTATCAATGTCTGGATTATGACACTTATGAGATAGTGGCTTATACAACCACTGTCAAGCAAGTATGAGAACTTTTACAATAATCAAACCAAGAAGTTGATAATGTCAGAAAAGTAGTTATGAGATGACCTTGAAAAGCTATATATGCTTGGATTAGAGAGTATTTTAGATTACTTTGCTAGAGTATTGGTCATATATAATCAAATTAAGAGATATAGGGAGAAGAAGGAGGAAATACGTGTGGTAGAAAAGACTCTACACTTATTGTAAAAGAAGTTCCATTATGTGGTGGTCGTGATAAAGGAGTCATAAAATATGAATTTTCTTATAATTAAAAAACTCATGAAAAAACTACAAACACATGAAAAAAGAGTCAATGACATTAAAAAAGATGTAGGAGCGCAAACATTTTTTTCAAAACATTATTACAAAGAAAAACAAGATAGTTTTAGATATATCCAAGGAGGTAGAAGATGTGGATAAGAGACAGAGGAAAAGAAAGAACATGTAAATTAGGTAAAGAAGGTCAAGACAACTTTAATAAGTCAACCGGTCGATCAAATAAAGTAAATCGGTCGATTAGTTCATTTAACAATGGCAATCCGAAATCCAGGTTTGACAAAACAAAAGTTAAATATTATAATTATAAGAAGACGAGTCATTATGCCATGGATTACTATAAGCTAACTAGAAGGGTTGAGGAGAATGTCAATTTTGTTTTAGAAAATGATAAAGAAACCACCTTATTACTAGTCTATAATGAATTAATGCAAGCCAAAAAGAATATGTGATATCTAGATAGTGGTGCTAGCAATCACATGTGTGGAGATAAAAATAAGTTTATGAAGTTTGATGAATTAATTAAAAATAATGTCACCTTCGTAGGTCTTTTAAAGGTTTCCATCAAAGAAAAATGTATGATTTTTATAAAATTAAAAAATAAATCATTAATTTATTGATGATATCTATTATATCCTTACTATAAAAAGCAATATATTGAGTTTAAGATAATTGTTAGAGAAATGTTATGAGATTAAGATGCAAGATCATACCTTGACATTACTTGATACTTATGAAGCTATGATTGCAAAGGTAATAATGACAAAGAACATAGAGATGGACATGCCTAAATGTTTAAATGCATGTATAAAAGATGAGAATTGGCTTTGACATATGAGATTTGAGCATGTAAACTTTGATAAATTAAAGATGTTGACACAAAAGGAGATGTTAAAGGATTTATCATCCCTTATATATCCAAATTAGTTATGTGAAGGATGTTTAGTGGACAAATAATGTTGCAAGGGCTTTCCAAAGAAGTTTACATCTAGAGCAAATCAACATCTACAAAAGATATAACAATCAAATTTCTTATAAGTATTCAACCATACTTATTTGGTAAAAAAGTATATTTTCTAGTTTTTATTGATAATTATAGTATAAGAAGATAGGTATACTTTTTAAAAGAAAAGTCTAGTGTATTTAATTGTTATAAGAAATTTGAGGCATTAGTTGAAAAAAAAAGTGGTTATTCTATAAATAATTTAATATAAGGGGTGAATTTTGTTCTAATGAGTTTAATGAGTTTTGTAAAGATTATGGTATAGAGAGACTCCTAATATTGCCAAGATCAACACAATAAGATGAGGTGAGGAAAAAGAATAGAAGTATCCTCAATATGACGAGAAACATGTTTAAAACTAGAAAAACATTAAATGAGTTTTGGGTTGAAGTAATAAATTATGTTGTTTCTTTTTCAAATATATGTCATACAAAATGCTTGAATCATGACTCCACAAGAAGCATGAAATAGAATAAAGCTAAGTGTTACTCATTTGAAAGTATTTGGAAGCATTGATTATGTGCATATAAATGATTATGTAAGGATCAAAATAGATGATAAAAGCAAAAACATGATCTTTGTAAGCTATGATAAAAATATAAGCTTTACAACCCCAATAAAGAAAATACGGTGATTAGTACAGATGCTGAATTTGATGAAGAATGAGAATGAGATTATAATGTAAATGATGGTGAGAAGTATGACTTTATATCAATTCTTAATAAAAAGGAGTAAAGATACAAAGATCATTAAGAACTTGTTACACCTCTATAATTACTAATGAACTCAACTTCACTTCTATCTTTTTTTTTTTTTTAGTGTAAGTTCTAATAATGGCAGCCTACCTAATCCACTAAGAAAGATAGCCTACCTAATCCACTAAGAAAGATAAGGAACCTTGATAACTTGTATGAGATAACTAATACTATTGATGATGATTTAACACAATATTGTTACCTTACTACATGTGATCCTATAGTGTTTGAAGAAGCAATAAAGAATGAAAAGTGAAGAATTGTTATGGATAAGGAGATTGCATCAATTAAGAAGAATAACACATAAAAATTAGTTTATAAACCAAAAGAAAAGAAACCAATAGGTGTCAAGTAGATTTACAAAGAAATAAAGAATGTCAAAGAAGAAGTGGAAAGATATAAAGCAAGGTTAGTGATAAAAAACTATAATCAAAAGCAAGGGATTAACTATGATAAAATGTTTGCTCCAGTTGCTAGATTAGAGACCATTTGGTTAATCATTGCCACAACTGCCCAATACAGATAGCAAATCTATCAAATAGATGTCAAATTAGCTTTTCTAAATGGTTTTCTTAAGAGAAGGTCTACATTGAGCAATCTATGAGTTATGAAGTGAAGGAACATAAAGAAAATGTTTTGAAGTTAAACAAAGCTTTGTATGGATTGAAGCATGCGTCAAAAGGTCAGTATAGTTGCATTGATGGTTATTTCTTAAATAATATATTTGTAAAATGCCCCTATAAATATGCTACTATGTAAAGATAAAAGAGAGTAGCAATACTCTTATTGTATGCTTGTATATAGATGACTTGAACTTTATAGGAAATAATTCAAAGATATTTGAAGACTTTAAGCAAACAATGATCAATGAATTTGAAATGATGGATATTGATCTTATGAAATACTACTTATGGATTGAGATCAAATAAGAAAAAGATAAAATCTTTTTGAATTAAAAGAAGTTTGCAAAAGAAATTTTCAAGAAGTTCAAAATGAAGGATTATACAAAAATGAATACTCCAATTGAGTGTGAAGTAAAGATGTCAAATAATAATGAAGGAGAGAAGATAAACTTTACAACATTCAAAAGTCTAATTGGGAGGTTAGGATATTTGACATGCATCTATCTAAATATTCTTCACTATATCATGTGTTTGTTATTCCATATAGTTAGGAGTTATGAATGTCACAAGAGAAAAGCCAACAAAAATTGATGTAGACAACTCATCAATTATTATCTTAGCAAAGAATCCAATATTTCATGATAAAAGTAAGCACATTAATACAAGTTTTCATTACCTACAAGATTGCATTACAAACAAATAAATTAAAGTCAAGTATATAAAGATTTAAGATTAAATTAAGGATATTTTGATGAAATCACTCAAATATAATGTTTTTGTTAAGATGAGAGTTATATTTGGAGTTATAAGGAAATGAAGTTCAAGGGGATGTTGAAAGTAATCTAGATCTTGATTTAAAAAAAAAAACAAAAAAATTGATCTACCAGTTGAGAACCGGTTTAAAAATAGTTGATCGATTAAGTCAACAGAATACTTTTATTTTAAATTAGGATTTTAATTCTTTATTTGTTTAATATTTAAAGTAGACTTATAATAAAAAGCATAATTTAATATGTAAAAAGAAATATATATAAAAAAACACTTGATAAGATTGCATTCTCTTAAATCTTCTTCTTGTACTTCAGCTTTGCTATCTTTAAATACCTACCACACCAATTTTTTTCTTTCAACGGATACTACACCTTTTTATTTTTGGTGAAGCATCGTAATCAATAATTGATAGCGAGCTTAGGAAATTTCGTTTCCGCATTAATCTGTTCAGTGACATCCTTTTTAGAGGTAAAGTTTGAGCACCTGTGCAAAATCACAATCATGATGCAAATGCCCTTTATTTTGTTAAAGCATCATCATGATCATAACTGAGTACTACTTAGCCTTATTCATTCTCTGTTCATAAAGGATTTAAGTACCATACAGACTTGATTTTTAGTTTGCTTAACAATCACACATGCATGCACCTAATCGTATTAACCAGCAGTAACCTAATGAAAATCAAAACCATGTGCACTAAATTTTCTCTGACACACTTTTGATGAAGTTGGAAATGATTCAAGCCAAGTCTTCAAATAGAGCAAGCTGAAAATGGACTGCATTCCTTTATGCCGATTCTATCATTCATTTTTGTAGGCACAGAAAGGTGCACTTAGTTTTGTCTAGGGTCACTTGGGAATAGAGATGCAGAAGAATTATAACATAATCAAACAATGATCACATTTTACAGTAAGAAATTGGCAGCACAAGGCTCATGAATAACATTGCGCCACCTCATGGTGTTTAGCATTGCAGGTATCTTCAACTGCAAGTATTGGACTGCTCTTTTGGGTATATTTAGAGCCAAGCGAGACTGGCGTGGCTTAGGAGCAAAGTTATGGATGATTGCATATCGCATTTTAGTGAAACTGGGTTCATTCTATGCACATTTCAACACTTCTTTTCGGTGGAAACTTAAGTACCTTCTGCTTTGATAATAGAGTGCTAATCATTCATGTCATCTGCTTCTTTCTGAAACAAAATATCAGCTGGGGCCTATTACACATCTCCCTACCCAGTGTGACAACCAAGGGTGGGACTTGGTAGACTGTTGGGTTATTAATTTATTATATCCACGAGAAAAATGATATGGAAGCACTTTCCTTTTTGGCTGTATATTACTTTACTATCAAATTGGTCTGAGAAAAGGGAACAAGCTGTTGGGATTTAGAAGAAATGGTTGCCTAACCATTGTTGGTCATTTGGTTTCTCAGCAATCACTCCAAATGTTCTTGCACATGAATTTGAACAATATTATGGTTGGGTTACTTAAAGATGATGAAGTTATCTTAGTTGATGTTTAGATAAAGAAAAAGAAACGGCTAGCTCCTCACCACGTTTCCCTCATCAGCATCTGAAGCAAGAGCTCGTTCCATTTATCAATCAATAGGGCCTGGTAAGCACAGGCAAGAGTCACATTCTCATGTGACCAGTGTCCATGATGGTTTCGGTGTCCATCTGGTCCCCCAACCATGGCTGCAGTTATGTCTAGCAACCTGAACCTTAAGCCCCTATTTTTCCCTCTCGTTCTCTCCTGAACTCCTTTACTAGAGTCAACGACAGCTCCAAAACATCCCTCCAATTTCAATTCTCCACTGGAAACGGCTGCGTCCTGACACAATTGCCTCCTTTATTCCATTCCTCGTTTTCAAAATGTGACGGTGACAAAAGTCCTAAAGAATGTCACCCCATTAAACCTTTCAAGGCTGAGTAGGGTCTTGAAGGTGTTGCCCTATAAAACAGAGTATATTTGTTTAGTTTATTATTGTGTAATATAATAAGAATATAGTAAATTTACAATTATACAAAGGCTAGCAAGTTTACTAAACTACACACACACAATGTCTAGTATAGAGTTTATACTTGAATAAAATTAATTTAGAGTATTTATAGAATATAATCAAGAAATCAATACTTTATTCTTAAAAAATTATTGTTGCTTATTTTTAAATATTTTTTTAATAAGTCTCTTAGTATTTGAGTTAATCGTATTAACCTTGTAATTCAAGTTATAAGATTAATATAATTTAATAAAAAATAAATTAAAATAAATTATAAAATTTAATTCTTAATAAATTATAAGTTACGAAATAAAATCAACATTACTTAAATTAATATTTTGCAAGATAATCTATAATAAAAACATACAAATTAATATTTATTTTCCCCAAATCTTTACTTAACTTACAGGTGGATTTGTGTGACTCACCTCTATAATTCATACAGCTAATATCAGAAAAGAAAAGAAAAGATCTTAACCTAACACTGAGATGATGCTAGGAACTTCAATTAGAGATTTTGCCTCTGCATTAAGATGTTTTTACAGGCCTGTTCTTGGGAAATTGTCAAATAGGCCTCTTCTCTTGGAGGCTTTTATTCAATTAATAATTTTGGACCTGAGCCATAACCCATTATTTTGGTTTTAAAATGATATACCTAGTAAAAAGTCCTCCATTTGGGATCCATCATCCATAGAATCAGCTGCAAACCTCCAGAAACACACATTAATCTTCAAAAGCCTAACATTGAGGTTAGCATTGCATAGTGGGCGTCCATGGGTCAAGATCACCCAAAGGAAGTACAACGATAAGCATGATGTGCTTTTGGACTATATTGTTGTATTTTAAAAATATTTTTAGATTATTTTGATGTATTGATATAAAAAATAATTTAAAAAAATATAAAAAATATTTTAATATATATAAAAAAACAATTTAAAAAACAAGTATTATCGTACTCTCTGACACTATTGCAGGTAGCAAAAACCAAAATGGCAACAACCAGAATACAATGATGTTTCATGAGCTTCTTGAGTTGTACTCATCATGGGGCTGTTTTTCAAGTGTTTACTTTAATAAAGATTTGCAATAATTTTTGTTGTCATATTGACATGTCCTTTGTAAGTGGAGAGAGATTCCTGACATGTCTTTATTGCCAAGAAAAGAACGTGTGCTTCGCATTGCTGTTGTATATTCATGAAAGTTGATATTCCTGCATCTTATGGACAAGGCTAAATCATTTACATCACTTTGGTTTGGATTGGAGCAGTGACCAATGTTTCATTGCATTATATGTTCTTTTGTCTCTCTTATGTCTAGTCTCGGTCCTGGGAATTAGTGGCCTGTCGATGTTTTTTCTTCGAGGAAAGAGTTCTATGGATGATCTCCATCTTTTGTCTCTGTGTAGTCCTCTTCAAGAGGAAAGAAGTTTTCCTGTAATGGACGGGGAGTAGCTATCAAGAAAGCTGAGGTTCCTTGCAGCACTTATTCTGGACTGAGTTATTCCAACACCACAAAAAACCAATTCAGTTTCTGTATCTTTTATACTTTAGAATGTCCTAAAGAAACACGCATCATTGCGAGACAAGATTTTGGAGGAAGACACAGCATGGAGCTGCAGATTGGAGCTCTGGAGTCAGCAGAGTCGTGAGTTGATATTCTTATTACTTTCAGGAAGAACACGGGGTAGATAACAAACACGGCATCAGGGAATTTTCCTGGAGACAAAATCTACACGGCAGAGCAGTATCTGAAACTGTCATCAGTATAGGCGCACTTGAACCTGAAGCTGGCCAAAACGTCGAACTACCAAGGCAAATCTCATTGTAACATCTGAGAAGAACATAACATTAATTTTCCAGCTGAAATCATTCTTCAAGTTGGCCGTTGCCTACAATTTCCCAACTCCTAATGTTGACAAACTTGAGACATCTGATGTTCAATGGAAGCAATTTCCGTAACCGTGTCTGTGACCATAATATTGATGGCTGAGACAAAAAAAATATAAGTTTTAATTTCATACAAAAATTGATTTATGAGTTCCAAGCAAGCCAAAACACAATCACTGGAGAAGGCTAAGTATAGATATTTGGTCTTTAAGCTCCAACATCAGTACTGAAATACAAAATTTTTGTCCTACGCATAATAAAATGAAAAGTAAAGCAACTACACTCGAAAACAAGCAGAGGAGTCCAATTATTGAATTGCTTAAGCAGCACCCTTTCCCTTCTTCCTCTGGATCTTCTTCATATAAAATTCAAGTTCTTTTCCTTCTAAGATGTATCTGTTGGGGAAAAGATAAGTTAGAAAATAAATAAGCTAACAACGAAAGCCCCATTTACTATCAGTATGTAACTAACTCTTGACAACTCACCCATCAGCTCTGCCACATTGACCAGGTCGAGAAGAGATGGAAGCCAACAGCCTACCACTTCCAAACTGCTCTTCAATGTGAGGATCCAGCTTACGACCCTGTTGACGCTTCTCAAGCTTCCTGATGACATGGTTACTCTTTTTTGTTTCTTCTGTAGTTGCTTCTCCTTCCTGCTGATATACAAGACAGAACATTTTAATTAAGAACACCACATAAAGAAACTAAAAGAGAATAATATGTCAAACCAAATCAGGAAAGAAGCAGAAGATAAAACAGCAGATTACCATGCAAAAACAATAATTAAAATATAGCATGGTTTCTATCTTGTTGGCAACATGAACAACACTAATGACCCTTAGCACACAAATAAGCCATAGCAAAACATCATCAATAAGCAGTTCTGCTAATCTTGAAAAACAAAAAAGAGAAAAAAGAAGGCAGTTTGTTATATTCTACAAACAAACAGGACGATCCACTGCATTCAATATTTGCATTGAAGTTATGTTAAATATCAAATTTATTGATGAGAAACTTCGGAGGACAAATGGTTCACCTGAATATTCAGGATACAAGAGAAGAAAAAAAAAAATCAAAATGAGGAATGACATTGAACACACAAACACCACACCTTAGTACCAAAAAATCTTATTCTGGAGAAAATACGAATGGGCCAAAGTCACTGAATCAAAATTCATGCTTTAGATAGTTTTGAAGGCTTTACAGGAGCAGCGAAACATTGAAGTGAGGAGGGTTCATATTGATTCCATAAAGCTAAAAAAACAGATCAAATTCTCTTATCCTACTCATAAACAACGTTGGCGAAATTCAGTAGATCCCATAGAAGTGCCATTCTTACACTTGGGAAAATCAAGTTAACAACGATCATGGGCATCTAGCAAACGTCCTCAACGTGAAATCAAAAATCAAATATAAAAGAAACAGAAAAGAAGCATTATTCTGGTAAAGCATATACAATAATACCTCAGGGGTTTCCTTCTTCACCACAGCCTTCTTCTTCCTACCAATGTCAACCCCATAATGCTGAAGGTACCATTGCTTGAAAGGGGCAGCATCCACCTGAACAATAGCACTTTTGACAAGAGTCTGGGTTCGGACAAGCTCATTGTTTGAGGCATTGTAAACCACATCAAGAATACGGGTCTTGCGAGTGACAGCTTCACTGCCCCACGAATAGTTCCCAGTATCCAATCTGAGGGCCCTCCACTTCACATTGCCTCCTCGCACACGAATTCTTCTGACAGTCTTGTTGCTTGAGAGCTTAGTGCTTGCAGGCTGACGGCCTAGCTCATACCTTCATCAATCCAATAAGCAAGTAATTAATATAAATAAATAAATAAATAAAATAAATAAATATTGAAACTAAGGAGAATTAAGGAAATTGTACTTTCTCTTCTTTCTCCAGGCCTTCTTCTTGCCTCCAGTGGCACGCCTCTTGTGCATAGAGTCACGTGAGATACCTTGAAAGACATAAACAGAGACACCATTTTACAGCAGAACACAACACAGCACACAGAGATATACTACTTTTTTATTTCAAGGCAGAGAAACGGAGAGAGATTTTACTTACCCATCGTTGCGGCTGCGGTTGCGGTTGCGGTTTTACAGAGACCACTGATTTATGTATCTGCTCCTAAGCGCCTCTCTCCTTCGACTTACCAGCTCTGCTATTCGTAAAACCCTAGTTGTCCGTCAATACGGGGTAGTCTTGTCATTGTACATACCCCCCATTTCTTTTCTTTTCCAAAGGCATTTATTTTTGGCTCCACGTTGAACTCAAAGACAAATTAAAAAAAAAAAAAGCGACGCTATTATGAATATATTTTCTAGTATAATAAAAGTTTTTAATTAAAGAATGCAAGGATAATATTTGTGTTTAATAAAATATATTGGAAAATATAAGAACAGAGAAAATCAAATAAGACGTCAAGTTGCGTAAAGATTTAAACAAGAAACAAATCTTTTATACACACACACACACACATTTCAATTTATATATATTTTTAATTTATCTTCCAGATTAATTCTACTCACTTAATATAAATATATATGGTTGTTGTTCTTATTAATTAACTATGAAAATACAACTTATTTATCTAAAATTTGAGATAAAAAAATCAAAGATAAATTAAAATATTTTTTTAAAATATTATAAAAATAAAAAAATTATATTTAATATCATATAGTTTGGTGTGAATCACACTTTGTCATCATAGTTTAAAAATTTGTATATCCTTTTTAAAAAATCAATAAACATTGTTGAAATATTTATAAAATTATTATTAATTTTTTTTTAAATAACTAAAAAGACTTGAAACAAGGCGTATAACAAAAATGTTCTTGGTAGAAAGTGAGATGAATATTTTGCATAGTGAAAAGGAAAATGAGGGAGATGAAGGGTGTGTTTCCGTGTTTCTAATTTTTTTTTAAATATATATATTTTTTTTATATTTTTAGATTGTTTTAATGAATTAATATTAAAAATAATTTTTTAAAAATAAAAAAAATAATTTTAATATATTTTTAAATAAAAAATATATTGAATTATTATTGTTACCATAATTCCAAATATATCAAAAATCATGAAGTAAAGATAAGGTGAGTTTTACTATATTTTTTATATGATTAGTCTGTGATTAATTTTTGCAAGGAAGACTATTTCATAACTTAAAGAAAATGGTTCCTCGTTTTTACTTGGATACTTAAAAATATTTGTTGAAACCTTCTTTGTAATTTTTTTTTTTCATCTTAAAATGCACATGCCCTCCCTTCCAAAAACTTAAAGCATTGTTAGGCATGGTAAATCAATTATCTCTGTAGTGGTTTTTTTTTTTTTTTTTTAAATTGATGACATATTATTTGGCTTAGCAAATGATTAAGTGATGGTTTTACAAATTATATGTTTTTCATTCTTATATTTTTTTTGTCACCTTTGGTAACTATAATTTGAGGTTCAAGTATTAGAATCTTAAAAAAAAAAAATATTTTTTTTCAAAAACAAAAACACCTAAAAAATCTACCAAAATTCTTAATAAACACATTTTTAACACTAATGCAAAAGGATATTTTTTTGAAGAAAAAGTTACTTGATTTCTTGGTTATTTTTATTTTTTGCTATTTAGTTTAGAAAATTAAATATTATGCTCAGTAATTTTATTTTTCTAATTTATTTAGGACTTAAATATTATGCTCAATAATTTTATTTTTCTAATTTATTTAGGATTTTTTGTTTTTTTCCCCTTTATTTTCAAGTTTTTTAGGTTGTTTAGGTTGTTTTTTTATATTTATTTAAAGAGTACGAGGATACTTGGTGTGGTGAATTATCGAGAAATAAGATTTTGAATTAGAATTTTTGGTGAGGTGACCTTATGTAGTAGAATTTTATATTGTTTGTTATTCTTATTTTTCTAATGTTGTTATTGTATATGTCGGTTGATATTAGAGCATAACGAGTTCTGGTGGTTAGTTGTTATGTATTGTTAAATAACCATGATTATAATAAGTGATAACATAATAGAGCATTCTCATTTAGGAAGGGATGTGAAGGTTCTATCTTAGGATGGAGATGTTTAGGAACTAATGATATAAGATATGTAAAGATAGATTGTAGAATTAATATGTTAGTTAATAGTGATAAAGTTGTAAAGAAAAGTTAAAGAGTTATCTCGTCAATTAGCATATATCAATAAGAAAAAAAAGTAGAGCGTCAATTAGCATATATCAATAAGAAAAAAGCAGAAAATCATGAGGAGGGTGATTATGAATCCATAATTAATTTTGAGAAGTTATTTCAAAGGCATGAGTAGAAAAACCAACTTATTGTTAAAGATAAGAATCATGGAGATTTTGATAATATCGTTTATAATAAGATAAGTATGGGTTTGTATTCTCTATTAATTTATGATGTATGTTTTGATGATGAGTTTGTTGATAATGATAGCATGAACAATGACAATGATTAAGTTATGAATGGTGTCTTCATTCATAAGTTAAGGATTGAGTGTAAAGAAAACATGGAAGATGCTCAACAAAAAAAATAATTTAAACTATATTAATCCTTTTGAGTACAAGTTTACTATTATCATAAAAGATAAATGTATTCAATGGTTATATAGATATAACATTCATTGATGATGTAAGAATTTATTATTCTTAAAGTCAATGAAAGTGAAATAATTTGTTAATTATTGTTTTTATATAAATATTAAGATAAAAAAACTGAAGTTGATGTTTAATATTGTTATGCACTTGAAGAAAAAAAAGAAAAGGAGTTGAAGAGCCTTGCTTAGATTTCCACAAGATTGAGGTAAGAGAAATTTAAATTCAATGAATATTTTTTTAATTTAAAGAGACTGACGCAAGATATTTTTATGAAAAAATATTTTTTTTATTCTATTTAGTTGAGAAAAATAAATAATAAGCTTAATAATTTTATTTTTCTTAGTTTATTTAGTTCTTTTATTACTTTTCCTTAATCTTCAAGTTTTCTAGTTTGTTTAGGTTGATTTTTTTAGTTATTTAAGGAGTTTTAAACCTCTTATAGATGCAAAATACTTGGAAAAAAATATTTATTAATAAAATTATGAATTAGAGTTTTGTGTAACAACTTTATTAGACTTTAATTTTATCTTTCTATCTTATTGTTTTGCTTATATTTCCATCCATGTCAGGTGGTTTTAGAGCCCCTCAAGGATGTCACGAAATAGAACATGTTTACGAGGGAAGGTATAAAAAGTTTTCTTTTGTTGGAATTCCTGAAACATATAAATCCAACAAAAAACTATAATTAATTTTTTTTTTGAAGTCTCAAGTATCCTTTAGATAATCTAGGATTATTTAGGATTTGAACGAAAATTACCTAAAAATCATATTTTCTTTTGGAGATGTGATCAACTTCTTCAAAACTAAGTTGTTGCAGACTATAAATCATTCAAGTGTCTAACCTCTAAGAGTAATTTATAGGAACTATAAGTTATCCATCCCTATGGCTTCTAAGACATACAACAATTTATAATCCTTCTAAATCATCATGTCATTCCAGTCTTGAAGCTCTTTTTTGTATTTTTTTAGCTGTTTTTTATTTGCACATCATACCAAAAATCATGCAATATATATGGTACAAATTAATTATTTATTAGTAAATAAAAAATAAAATTTTAATATTTGAAATAAAAAAATATCTTGCATTTGATCTTACCCAATTGCAGCATGATTCTTTTAAATCCTTCTTACAACATTATTATCAACTTTTTCGCATTCAAATTTTTTCTTGAAGTAAAAATTTATATAAAAAAAGTCAGTAATTTCAATAAACTAACCAAATTAATTTTAAAAAATATATTTAAGTTAATACTAACCTTGAACCTTGAAAACTGTTCCATTTAGGATGTTTGAAAACCCGGTATCATTGAAATAATAGAATTTTCATTGATGATTTAAAAACCAGGAAGGTATAAAAAGTTTTCTTTTGTTGGATTTCCTGAAACATATAAATCCAACAAAAACTATAATTAATTTTTTTTGAAGTCCCAAGTATCCCTTTAGATAATCTAGGATTGTTTAGGATTTGAACGAAAATTACCTAAAAATCATATTTTCTTTTGGAGATGTGATCAACTTCTTCAAAACTAAGTTGTTGCAGACTATAAATCATTCAAGTGTCTAACCTCTAAGAGTAATTTATAGGAACTATAAGTTATCCATCCCTATGGCTTCTAAGACATACAACAATTTATAATCCTTCTAAATCATCATGTCATTCCAGTCTTGAAGCTCTTTTTTGTATTTTTTTAGCTGTTTTTTATTTGCACATCATACCAAAAATCATGCAATATATATGGTACAAATTAATTATTTATTAGTAAATAAAAAATAAAATTTTAATATTTGAAATAAAAAAAATATCTTGCATTTGATTTTACCCAATTGCAGCATGATTCTTTTAAATCTTTCTCACAACATTATTATCAACTCTTTCGCATTCAAATTTTTTCTTGAAGTAAAAATTTATATATAAAAAGTCAGTAATTTCAATAAACTAACCAAATTAATTTTAAAAAATATATTTAAGTTAATACTAACCTTGAATCTTGAAAACTATGCATCGATTTATGGTTTCCATTTAGGATGTTTGAAATCCTGATATCATTGAAATAATAGAATTTTCATCGATGATTTAAAAACCGATGTTATTATTCTTCTAGTTTCAATGTTTGTAAACTTGAAATTACATTCATTAAATGAAATTATTTTTTTCAAAAATTATTAAATATGTTGTTGTAAAAGTAAAACAAACTTATATTAAAAGGTCATCTTTTCATTAAGCCTTGCAATTGCATATTATATGGATGATATTCGTTTCAAGCCTCTCTATGTGTTACATCTGTAACTTGTTAGAACATATATTTCTAAATAAATGACTTATCTTTATAAATGTATCTCATATCCCTTTTAGTAATAAATATTAGCGAGCTAATAAAATGAGTGTTTGCATAAACACATGACAATTATTATTCTTCATTCCATACAATCTGCAATCCTTTTAATTTACCAACCTTGATATATTCGAGACATGTCTATAAGAAAAATGCAGACTTTTAAGTCATTGATAGACAAGTTACTAAGCATTATTATCTAAGGCGAAATTGGCTTTAGGCTTTGCGACTTATGACCAAACATAAGCCAACTTTATATTTTTA